ACACAGAAACATTTGCTGAGCAAAGTCAGGGAACCTTTGGCAAGCAAAGACTGTAAACTGTGAAGTTAAATCAATAACTTAGTGGGGGTTACTGGGCAGGACTTGGGGGCAGCAGAAAGCAAATGGTGTAGAATTTGTTTTCGGTCACTTACCGCATGACACGTTCATTAGCTTAAAAATAGGACCCAGGAAGAATGTGAAGTACTTAAGGAATGATGGTCACAGGATTAGGGAGACGGTGACTTTAAAATGGTAGTAGCAGGGTGGTCAGGAATAAATCTCCAGTTCTAATTCTCCTACTAGTTTCCTTGTTGATTCTCCTTTCTGGGTGGGCTAAATGTCTGAACTACTTCTGGAAGAAAAAAAAAAATGTTTTTAAAATACGAAATCCAGCCGGGCGCGGTGGCTCACGCCTGTCATCCCAGCACTCTGGGAGGCCAAGGCGGGAGGATCGCTCAAGGTCAGGAGTTCGAAACCAGCCTGAGCAAGAGCGAGACCCCCGGCTCTACTAAAAATAGAAAGAAATTAATTGGCCAACTAATATATATATAGAAAAAATTAGCCGGGCATGGTGGCGCGTGCCTGTAGTCCCAGCTACTCGGGAGGCTGAGGCAGGAGGATCACTTGAGCCCAGGAGTTTGAGGTTGCTGTGAGCGAGGCCGACACCACGGCACTCACTCTAGCCTAGGCAAGAAAGCGAGACTCTGTCTCAACAAAAAAAAACAACAAAAAACAAAAAATACACATTCCTGTGCTCAAACCTGAGAATTGAGATTCCTTTGCGTCTGGGCGGGAGTTTAGGCAGTCAGTGCACTTAATAACCTCGCCCAGAAATGCGGGTACAAATCCAGGCGACCTGGGACACCCGCCACCCCCAAAATCTGGCTCTAACCTTCTATCGATGACCCTGTACCTGAATTCCAGTGCGAGAAGCTGCCACGGGGCAGCAAATAGATCATCGTTAAGAGAAAGCGCAACTAAGTCGTGTGTGTCAAACGAGGCCAATCACGCCAGCAGCAACCTCGCTGTCAGCCTGTGCATACAGTGCACAGTGCCAGCGGCTGGGAGAGATCTCCTTCCTACACCCACTCAGCAAGGTGCAGGTGGGATGAAGGGGGCCCCTTCTAGAAACCCCCACATCAGCTGGATCATCAAAAGCCTCCGATCACATTAAAACGAGGGGCATGCATCCGAACACAGTTTGAATCCGGAAGCTCATAAGCAAAACATTTGAGATCGTTTTTTTCCTTGGGGGAGATTCGCATTTCCGTGCAGATGGTGGATTCTATCTTCCCCATACACGATTCCATCTGAAAGTGTCTCAGTTGCTTCCCGTAAAAGCAAGAAGATTTCTTAAAAGCCTTTCTGTGGGCTGGGAGTGCTGGCTCACGCCTTTCATCTCGGCACCTGGCAGAAGCTGAGGAGGGAGGATTCATATTTTTTTTTTTTTGTTTTATATATTTCTATTTATTTTTTTATTTTTTTTTTTTTTTTATTTTTTCATTACTTTTTTTTATTTTTTTTTTTCTTTTCATTATTATTTTATATATTTTTTTTTTTTTATTATATAAGGCCTTATTCTATTGGTGTTCATCCCTAGCTCACAGGCAACCGTCCAAACGTCCTGGGCCTCGGCAGCGATCCTCCTGCGCTCAGCCTCCCCGACTAGCTGGGACTGCAGGTGTACCCGGGTAATTTTTCCTATTTTTGGTAGGGGCAGGATTCTCACTGTTGCTCAGCGCTGGTCTCGAACTCCTGAGCTGCAAGTATCCCTGCCTTCCTCGGCCTCCCAGAGTGCTGGGAAGTCACAGCGGCATGAACCACCGTGCCCGGCTGACGAGCTGACCTTTAGATCTCCCTC